CTACAAAGCAGGAACAACCCTAAAGACACTGAAAAGGACTCATTGAGAGCCAAACTATCCTACATAGTAGATAGATTCATGAGGTAAGAAGGCTCACTATGTAATGCTAACTGGCTTTTCTAAATTTAGACTTCTGAGCTGGCCCCAGTAGAACTTACTACTAGTTAATAATCTTTCTGCCCAGATTTAAATGGTCTAATAATTTAGTGTCATAAAAATGGCTAATACAGGGTGGGACAAAGTAGGTTTACAGTTGTTTATGAGGAAAATAATACAGTAATTAATAAATAATAATACAACAGTAAGCTCTGTTTTCGTGTGCTCACAACTATAAACCTACATTTGCTCCACTTTATATATATCTCTCAGCCACATTAGAGGTAAAAGAAGTTTGATACATTTGGATAATCATATAAAAATTATGTTGGCTTTCTTTTTTAAGAAGGCAGTTGTACCCAGTGACTAGATATTAAAGACAGTTTCAAAGAATGATATGAGCCACAAAGGAAGTGTCAATGGAATTAATCATTCAGAATTCCAAGTGAAAGAAAATCTTGCTACATTTCAATGTTTGGGCTTAGAAATTTACAGCTAAGAGAGGTAAAATATTTTCAACAGAGAAAAGAAACCATCTTTTCCATTAACTCTTATAGTGTTTCCTCTTCAAAAGAATTCTTAGTTCGGAGCTGATCAATGTTTCTCTCTCATCGATGCTTCTAACTCTCTATCCCTCTCCCTTCCTCTCTGTAAAATATTAATAAAATATATTTTTTTAAAAAGAATTCTTAGTTCAAATATTGATATAGACTTTACCTGGAACAATATGGAAAATATGCTGTTTCCAAAAAGGCAAAATGTACTGTAATATAGGTATACATAGTCTATAATACTGCCTCATCTAAAGTCATTGTCTGACTAATCTATTTGCTATCACCAATTAATGGGCCAGGAATGCCTTTTCTCAGTTCCTCTAAGTTTTTACTCTCCTGACTCTAAGGCTCCTAAGCTAATAAGAGTACTTCCACCAACACACATGAGTTCATTCTTTGGCTATGAAAAACTGACTCTGGCAAAAACAACAACAACAGAATTCCTCATCTAATCTAATAAAAGAGAAACATGCAAATTGACCATACCTCCGCTACACCAACAAGCCACACCCACCAACCAATCAGAAGCAAACATGCAAATTGACCCAACTAAGATGGTGGCGGCCATGGAGCTGGAGCGTTGCCCCCGGCAATGGAGGAAGCCAAGCTTCCCACCTGCCCTGCCGGCCCTGAGCTCCACTGAAGGCTACAAAGTTTCAATTATAGAAGAGAAATAAATCCCAGATACCTGCTTCCAGCCGTAAGCCAGCAGGTGGACATCCCCCGAGGGGTCCCAGACTGCAAGAGACACAGTCCGGGCTGAGGGACCCCCCCCCAAGTGCACAAATTTTTGTGTACCGGGCCTCTAGTGTTACTAATATTAATCTTCTTTTGAAAAGTGTCTATACCCCTGGCTGGTGTGGCTCAGTTGGTTGAGCAAACAAAAGTTTGCCAGTTCAATTCCTGGTCAAGGGCACAGGCCTGGGGTTGGGGGCTCAATCCCTGGTGGGGTGGCGTGCAGGAGTGCTCTCACATCAGTGTTTCTCTCCCTCTCTCCTTCTCCCTTCTTCTCTCTAAAAATCAATAAACTAAAAAAAAGTGTATGCAGCAAGAAGAATGTATAACAGTGCTCTTAAATATGAGCTGCATAGTAATTTTTTAAAAGTCTCAGCCTGCTATGAAATAAATTGTGTCCCCCTAAAACTCACATTAAAGCTCTAATCTCTAATGGGGAAGTAACTAGGGTTAGATGAGATCATGTGGGTAAGGCCCTCATAATGGGTTTAGTGGCTTTATAGAAGAGAGATCACTCTCTCTGTCATATGAAGACACAGCAAAAAGGCTGCAAGCCAAGAGAGCCCTCAACAGAAACTGAATTGTCAGACCCTGACTGTGGACTTCCCAGTCCCAGAACAGTAAGAAATAAATGTCTGTTAAAGCCATCCAGTGTACAGTGTTTTATTACAGCAGCCTGAGCAGACTTAAGACACAGCCTATGAAAAGAGAATATCAGATAAAAGTTGTACAGAAGTCAAGTCACTGAACATGATGACAAGATGCTACTTACTGAAGGCCCAGGCAAGATTTACAGCCAAAATCTGAAACACTGAAATTTATGACAGGAACTCTAGAGTTGCAACATGACAATGCTAAAGTGGCAACCCTGGCCTTGGGTCAGGTCCACAAGAAGAGAACTATATATACTCTGTGAGAAATTAATGCTATTCCAAGGCTAACTGAGGAGTTCTCTGTTTCCTTTAAATTCTAGTAGAGTTTATTTCATGCAGAAACATCAAATGACCACCTAGCCTTCCAAATATCATCCAAAGATCACCACAGTCAAATTCAGTAGGGGAAAAAAAGGGGACATATGTAATACTTTCAACAATAAAGAATTATTTTTTTAAAAAATTCAGCAAACAACACTCCAATAAGCCAATTTCATTGCAAAGACTTCTGTGTACAGAAGAGAAATCAACTTTATCAGCCTTATGATGTCTGAAGTCAGTACATTTAAATCTAGAAGCAGCACAAGATTTCCTTAAATCTTTTAGGAAAGTTATCTTAATCTACTTGGAAAGTAGTTGCAAAAGCCTGCTTGTGGTACCAGGTAGTAGGTAAAACAAATAGGGCAGAAAAGTGGTAGAGGGAATCAAAGATGTTCAGCTATATACTATGTAAAAGCAGAAAATCCACATAACTATAGCACTGCCAAGTAAAACATGTGCTGATGAAATGTCTGAAAAGTTAACAATAGGGAAAACAATAATTACCAATAAATTACTTCACCAAACATATCTTTCTAATATTTTTAGCATCAACCTTTAAAGGGTCAAAATTCCCTCTTACTGAACTTACATTTGCACATGAACCTGGAGACAATTAGTTCGCAGATCAATTAATTCTTACTTAAATGAAAACCCTAAATAGTGCTTTGAAGTTTCTATGTCATTATATTGTTTAAATTGTTCAAATAATGAGAAACACCCCAAGGAGGTCTGCTTCTAAACTGGAAGAGAAGCACTCCAAAATAAATGACATAAACTTCATGAATTTAAATTAGGGGAAGGAAGACTGTTTATGTTAAGTGACAAGCCTACCAAATCTCTAAGGAAGAACAATCCAAGGTCTTATCACAAACTTAATATTAAGAAGGAGAAAAAAAGGGAGTAAAAAGTAGAACAAGAAAAGCTATCAAGGGGAGAAAAATGAAAGTAAAATAACATTCCCAATACTTACTGTATTATCAATTATTTCCATTAACCAATTAAAGCAATCTGACATCTAACGGTAAATTTTAAGTATTTGTAACAAAGGTCTTTATTTCAAAATTAAAGGAAGTTTGTTATTATACTTTTAAAAGCCTATTCTTCAGGCTTTCCATAACCTCTGTATAAGAACACTCATATTTTAGGACATAGTAAGAATCAAAGACTGACAGTTGTGTAGGTGTTAACAAATAGCATGTTAGTTCCAATAGTAGATGATATTGGCATGTTAATAGGCTGTGAGGGCCTTTTAAACTAGCTGCCTAACCCCATTTTCCATCCCTTCAATCTATTCTACATGCTATGGCCAGATTAAGGGTAATATAATTTGCCAGCTGCCTATGATCTTTCAAAGATAATTCCTAACCAATACAATCTATAGTGGAGCTTTTTTTGTTATTAATCCTCACCAGAGGATATTTTTCCATGGATTTTAGAGAGAGTGGAAGGAAGGGGGAGAGACAGAGAGAGAGAGAGAAACATCGATGTGAGACACATCAATTGGTTGCTTCCCACAGGAGTCCCGATTAGGGCTAGGGCCAGGGATGGAGCCTGCAACCCAGGTATGTGCCCTTGACCAGAATCGAACCCAGGACCCTTCAGTCCACAGGCTGAAGCTCTATCCACTGAGCAAAACCAGCTAGGGTTAGAAGTGGAGCTTCGTATCCAAGGCCCTCCTGAATCTGATTCCATCATACGTTCTCTATCCTTTACATACTAGTACTCTAACCCCATATTACACACTGGAACACATAACAGTGATCTAAACACTGTTGCTTCATTGTCTTCTCCATCTCTGTCCAGTACTACCTTTCAATTATCACCACTAAAGCCAAGTTGTCTGAGTATTCTCTGATTTCGCTCAAATCAGAAGTAACCACTTCCTTCTCTAAATTTTCATCCTGCATTCTTAGTACTTCTCTTACTCAACAAGTTCTATCTTACTTTATGGTGAGTGGCTTGTGTACACAAATACTAGTAGTACACTCACTGATTACAAAAATTCTATCACATCATCTTTTTGTCTCCCACTACACCTAGCACATATTTCCATGAAGATCTGCTGATTAAAACAAACAAACAAAAAAAGAAATAAAAAAAGAGAGTTGCTGATTCACTAAATAAACACTATGGGAAAAATAGATATATTTTATGAGAAAAAAATACATTTATATATGTCACTTTTTAAACTAGAAAATCGAATGTTCAAATCAACTATGTGTTAATCCTTAAAACTGCTAATGTCTATCCTTTAACCTACATCCAAGTATATTCATTTCTCACAAACAGATCACCAAATGCTATGGTCTACATATCTGTGTCTCCCCGCAACATCCCAACTCATATGTTGAAATCCTAATCTCAAAGATGGTATTAGGAAGTGAGATCTTTTGGAAGTGGTACCCTCATGAACAGGATCAGTGTTATAAAAGAGATACCCCAGAGTTCCCTTCCACCATTTGAGGGCACAGTGAGAAGGCAACAGCTATGCACTAGAAAAAGGGCCCTCAACAGAATTTGACCATGCTAGCACCTTAATCTTGAACTATCCAGCCTGAGAGAAATAAATTTCTATTGATAATAAGCAGCCCAGTCTGTGGAATTTTGGAGCAGCCCAAACAGATCAAGACAACAAACTTACCTCAAACAAGCGTAAGTCAGCAGGAACTCTGTCCCCAACAGAAAGGCAAACTGTATCACCTGGAACCAAGTCTCGTGCAAGTGTATGTTCCAATTTTCCTTCACGCACACTGTAACATGAAACAGAAACAACCATGACTAAAAAGGAAAGCCATGCCACTTTATTTTAAAAGGTGATTCCGGTGGGCTTGCCTGCAGAACAATCATCTGAGTCTGTTTGTGCAGCACTGCACCAATAACAGTGCTTAGCACATAGTTGTAAACACAAACACACACACACACACACACAATTATCTGTTGAATATCCACCTCTTAACAATATCAAAATCAAAGCTTGAAAGTATTAATAGTACAACTTGCTATACTGAACAGAGCATGCATTTTTCATGTCAGATTAATGATTTCTACCTATGTTTAAATAAGTCTGTGGTGGTGGGGTGGAAAACAGAGGCTAGATGGACATGGGCAAAGGGGGCGGAAATGGGGACATCTGTAATAGTGTCAATAATAAAGTTTAAAATAAATAATGTTTGCAAGTCAAAAAGCCTATGTTTAAAAATAATAATAAACAAGTCTGAGGCCACAATGTATCACTGCACTAGTCACATTCAATTTCTATTTTTAAGAGTAGAAACCCATATCAGAGACAAAGATCATACCAATGGCATTCTGGTGGCATAAGTTTTCTTAGTTCTTCAAGAGACTTTTCTGAACGATATTCCTATTTAAAATAAAGAAAGAGGACTTAATATTAAAATATTTATTTATAAAGAAATTAAATATGTATTTTCCTAAGTACATATTCCATATTAGACTTAATTAAATACTGATCTCAATCATTATTTTAAAATTTCCCAATTCTTATCTTTTCCTTTACTTGCAATTATAAAAGCTTGTCTCTTATTAAATGTTTCAGTGACAAACAATTTTGATTATTAAATATTCCCAATTTTATATTTTAATGTTAGTGTGCAAACCTAAGGTCAAGCTATTTGTAAGAAAATGAAGAAAACTGATTAGTATGTCCAAAGAGTATATGTCAGTTATTAAAAGTTAAGATCATTGAACCTCATAATTAAGATAATTTTACTTTTAGTGTTTAATAACCAAAGAGGTCAATACAATTAACCTCAAGCAACATCTGATTTGGGGATTTAGGTCCATGCTAACTGCGAAAGTTTGTGGAATAAGTTTGCTTGGTTTCAGCCACTACATTTATTAAAGTGAATAACACACTACCCTTGTGTAAAATTCCACATTGACTATGTTAAAATTGCAATTTGCTCGTTTGTTTTTTGAGGATAAGGGCTATTTACCAAAACAACAAGCTACTAGGGTCTTCCATATACAGTGATAAAACTGTAAGAATCTTTCTGAAGAAAGTCACTACATATATCTATAGCATTATTAAAGATGCAAGAGGGTTCCAGTTATTGATCCAGTGGGTTATATCGCCCACATGGCTAAATGATAGCTGCCTTGAATGATGCCTAGCTTGGAATGACCTCTGTAAGACTAACAGTTCCACCTGCCCTAGGGCAACTTTTGTCTGTTCTAGGCAAGAGGATTCCCTAGAAATAGGTCCCTGGACAGCTGACTGATAGAGCTCACAAACTTGCTGCAGATAATCTGATTCCAACTGGTTTTTCTACAGGGGATTTCTATAAAACTAATAAACTTATTAAATTAGATATTACTATAAGATGACAGTAAATACCCAAGGAATAAATCATAGATGTGAAAATAACCACAATCACTTAAGACTCAAAACAACATGAACTTCAAGGTCATGATATATTACATTTCCCTCTCAATTAAAATAATCCTTATAATCTTATTAAACATGTTTTAGAATTTTTAGCTAATGAGACTTGCCAACATTGTTCTCAGAAGGTATCAGCTATTTAAATAAACATAAAACTAAGCCTATGTTTTTACGTATGCCTATACTTATCAATAAAAATCCTAAAATTACCTCCACATTATTCACATTTTTTTTTTAAGTTCCTTTTCATAGCCCAACTGACATGGCTCAGTGTTTGAGCACTGACCTATGAACCAGGAGGTTTTGGTTCAATTACCCGTCAGGGCACATGCCTGGGTTTCGGGCTTGATCCCCAGTGTGGGGTGTACAGAAGGCAGCCAAGCAATGATTTTCTCTGATCGTTAATGTTTCTATCTCTGTCTCCCATTCCCTTCTTCTATGAAATCAATAAAAAAAATAAATATATTTTTTAAAAGTTTAAGTTCCTTTTCGTATGTTTTATTTACTGTTTCAATATCTATGCTAAGTAGAGAGTCTGATCAAGATCAGAAAATCCCTCCTATGCAGAAATAAGAAATTTAAACCTTGGTCAACCTTTTTAAAATGGAAAAACATTTTTAAACTTATTGATGGATATATACTATTACTATGCTTTTTGTTTCCATCTGCTTCATCTGTCTATAACACCATCAAATAAAAAACTAGATTTTCTTCATGCCACTACCTAAAACAAAGCAGTCAAGTTAGTCCCACAAATTTCCCAAGGGAGTTGTTTGTTTCTGAAATTATCTCATAAATAAATAACAAATTGTTGTGACAAACATTACCATGACCTAATAACTACAGATTCTGCCTTAAGCTACCTTAATTTTTAAGCAAGTAGCTACAATATCATTTCAAGTGGGCAAAACAGGCTAACTACTCACCTGAACAAAGGCAACTGTAACGACGATAAGTATTGCCTAAACAAAACAAAGAAACATCCTTTTAAATCACACATTATAACTTCAAAATAACTATTAATTGTATTTTATTTTTCTGACTCTATCTGCAGAATCAAGATACCAGACACTAAGTATTGAAATGAACTGGGAAAGAAATCACAACTTTACTCTGCCCTATGAGGAAAAAACTGATAGTGGCTTGCCTCCCCAAGGGCAGCTTCTCAAACTTTCTGATCTCAGGATCTCTTTATGTTCTAAAAACTGACCAGTTTTTATTTATGTAGGTTATATCTACAGATATTTGTCATATTAAATACTTTCTCAATTAGTTTTAATTTCTACTTATTAATTCATCTAAAATTAACCCATTACATGTTAACAAAGCACATTTTTTATGAAAATTATATTTCCTCAAAAAAATTTTGTAAGAAAAGTGGTATTTTTCAATTTTTCTATCTTTAATGCCTGCCTTAAGAGAATGCTGGACTTTCATAAATGCTTCTGCATTCAATTTATTGAACTATGTTGATTAGGCCAAAGTATATAAAGAAACTCTAGCCTCACACATATTGTTGGGTAAAAGAGGAATACTTTAAAAGCTTTGCCAGACTATTGTGTATAGTCTTCTTTGCTACTACAACAAAATTAGACAAATGTTAGCTATGTAAAAGTAATGTGCAATGTAGAATATAAAACAGTATCAATGAACTTTTCATAACCTGTTATATTAAAATCCACTGATCTACCTTGCATTTTGAATTGATCTTTTATCACTAAAAATTCTGTAACATCATGCTCTGGTAATTTACAAAATATTAATTTACTTGGTTATTCAACTCATTCAAATGTTGGCACATTTCATAATAGTAAAAAAAAAAATCACACTCACTAAACTCACTACTGATCTCATGAGAATAAAGTCTTAAATATTGGGAAGCTATTTAGCACACAGTATTTGGCAAAATTCTAATTATCACTTGAAAGTTTGAATTTATATCACTGGCAACAAATTGTCAGTTGTTTTTCTTGAAGTGGAAGGCTCATTTTATTCACTTTCAGAAAAAGTATGTGTTATCCTAATTTTAATACCAGTTTGTCTATCAATCATTCTTTCAAGTAAAAGGCTAGTTCAGCTCACCATAATCACCCTTCCTCAAGATAACCACTATACTTCAATATACAGAAGTTCTTTATGCATACTTGCCATTTCATTACACAGAATATTAAAAAGGTATGTATGCAAGTGTCCAGATTTAATAAAATTAATTTTTACTGTTTTATCAAAAACATTCCTAAGAGAAATAATAAAAGAGAACAATGACTATTAGTACAGTTTGGTGCCATTATATTGATTTGAGCCAAGGTTCTAACAGTTTTACCCACCATTGCTTTTGTACCACTGACTTAAATATCTATAGTGAAAAGACAAATGATGCTTTAGTATTATGAAAAAAGTTGTATACGCTCACTGAAAGGGCCGCAGAGACTCCTGGGAGTCCCCAAGCAAGAGTTCAAAAATTGCAGCTCTACATTAATTTCTACTGTGTTCTTATGCACAACACACTTGCTTTATTCAATGGTTTTACTTGCTATAAATTTTATTACAGTAAAACAAGAGGCAAGAAAAAAAAAGATGAGAAAATTTTCAATGAGAGTTAGAATACCCCAGCTGGAAAGAATAAAATTTTACATAGTAAATACAATGTGCATTGTTAAATCATACTTTTAGTTTCACAAGCATGAAGCTTTAGTTCACAACTAGTCAAAATGTACTCTCAATTGGAAAGTAAAATAAATTGAAAATGTAACTGAAACATTATTATAAAATATTTTGTATCTGTGAAATTACCAAATTGTTAAATTCTCACATGTGCCAATCACTAACCCTTGAACATTGTTTGAGATTACTGCAACTAAAAGCAAGTTGGAAACTAACAAAAACAAACCTGAGAAAACACTAAGGCATTTCTCAATTCATTTTCCAAAATAAAAGCCAATCCTAATTTCCATGATTAACTGACAGTTTAAAAAAAATATATATATATATATATTTTATTCTTACCACAGTGATACTGACAGCATCATCAAACTGATGCATTAAAACACTGATGACTGCAGAAGCCAGAAGCAGCATAATAAGGGGATTTTTAAACTGAAAGTAAAAACAAACAGCAATTCAACAGTTTTGTATGAATGATAGTTGTGTCCGTCACTGCAAAAGCTTGAAAAAAAACCAACACAAAAAAAACTATTGAGACATGATTAGAAAATTACGAGTCTACATTTAGTTTACTTTGTATATCTCTTCAATTAACAAAAAAGTTTACACTTAACTACATTTAAAGTTACCACTTTATAACATCTTCCTTTCAGAAAAAAAAAAAGAAAATTAAATATCAATATCTAAAACCAATTACCTCCCTGGCTGGTGTGTCTCAGCTGGTGAGAGTGTTGGCCAGCACACCAAGAGGTGGCCTGCTGGATTCCAGGTCAGGGTACATACCCAGGTTTTAAGTTCGATCCCTGGTAGGGGCATGTATGGGAAGCAACTTACAGATGTTTCTCTCTCACATCGTTCTCTCTCTCTCTCTCTCTCTCTCTCTCTCTCTTTCTCTCTCTCTTCCTATCTCTTGAATCAATGAAAAGCGTGTCTTTGGGTGAGAATTAAAAAAACTAATTAATTACCAATTTCTTACAATAAACATGTATTTTATATATTAGCTTTTTTATATGTACATACATATGTTCCTACTGAAGCTAGAATAAGTGGAAAATGATTTTTAAGCTAAAGATTTAAGTTAAACACTGGGTAGAACACCTAAATTATTAGTTTAAGACAGTCCTCAATATTCCTATACCAAGTAAATTAGTGAAGATTACAATTCAGATTACAAAAAGGAAGCAGCCTTTTCCCAAGATTGCTTTTTCTGATATCCATTCTAGCAGAGCCAATAGTATATGAAGAAACAAGACCACAGCACCAACCCAATCAGGCAGCACTTAAATGACCAAACATCAGAGCCACCCTAAATTTTTCCAGTGGGACATCCTACTCCTTAAACATCACAACTCTGTTGCCAGAATCTCCTCCACTGATGAAGTGGTGCCAACTGCTGTCAAAACTTCAAAGTACTAAACTACAAAGAATCTATCCCAGCAGAAACCCCCAGCCCTTGGTTACCACAGCTCTGAGGTGAGACGCCACCACCTCCCACTCCCTTTAGGGCCCTATCCCTAGCACAGTGGTTCCAACCCTGCTTCACATCAGAATCATGTGAAGAACTTCTAACAAATGCCCAGGTTCACACACCAATTAAATCAGAATTTCTGGGCATAGGGCCCAGGCTTCAGAATTTTTAGAGCACTCCCCAAGTGACCTGACTACATAGAGGACTGAAAAATCACTGCTCTAGCAAAATAAAACTACAAGTGCAATGTGGTTCAGGGCTGAAAACCATACACTTGACTGAGTCAGAGTCCCAATTTGAATACAGCTCTTGTCACTTCTGTGTGATTTTTTTTTTAAAATATATTTTATTGATTTTTTACAGGGAGGAAGGGAGAGAGATAGAGAGTTAGAAACATCGATGAGAGAGAAACATCGATCAGCTGCCTCCTGCACACTCCCCACGGGGGATGTGCCCGCAACCCAGGTACATGCCCTTGACCGGAATCGAACCTGGGACCTTTCAGTCCGCAGGCCGACGCTCTATCCACTGAGCCAAACCGGTTTCGGCAGTGATTTTTAATCTCATTAAGCCCTAAGTGTTCTTCATCTAATAAAATAGCACCTTATACCAAAGACTGTGGTAAGAATTAACTAAGAATGTATATTAAAGAACTGTGTAAACCATAAAACCCTCTTCAATGTCAGATGTTATCATCACACTATGAGGACAAGGCCCATGGTCTTCTTTCATTTCCCTCTAAAAAAGCTGTGTGTCATAGTACTAAGGACACCACTTACAGCAGTGGTTCTCAACCTTCTGGCCCTTTAAATACAGTTCCTCATGTTGTGACCCAACCATAAAATTATTTTCATTGCTACTTCATAACTGTAATGTTGCTACTGTTATGAATCGTAATGTAAATATCTGATATGCAGGATGGTCTTTGGCGACCCCTGTGAAAGGGTCGTTCGACCGCCAAAGGGGTCGCGACCCACAGGTTGAGAACCGCTGACTTACAGGCTCAACAAATGCCTGCAAAACAACAAGTTATGTTTTCTGTAAAGGAGTAGAGTCACCTAATGCTTTATGATTGACAAGTGATATTTACTATTAATTACTGTTTGTGCTTAACTACATTATAGGCACTGTTTCATTTCATTCTTACAGCAACCCCATGATGCAGGTTAAAAGACATTAAAAATTGTCTTTACTAAAAAAAAAATTTGGCAAACTAACCCTACTAGTGGAAAATTGGCCATAGGATTCTTGTAGCTTTTCACACTAACATAACTTGTTATCAAGGTAAGAAAAAAATTTTACAATACATTTTTCTGAAAAGATTAGGCTATTGATAAAATGTAATTAAAAACAGCTATCATCTATCGATATCTTACTACGTCCATTATTATCCCCATTTTATAGACAAGGCTCAGAGGATAATAAAGGTCATACAGATAGTATAAATAAAGGTAAAATATGTACCCAGGTGATCTGAATTCAAACTGTCAAACTTACTCTTACTAATTTTCTAAGATGGTTATATTACTTTAAAAATTTTTTCTAAGATGTCCATATTACTTTAAAAAATGTTACCATTCCTAATATAAAAAGGGTGTAAATTAGATATCTGCAAAGGGAACTACTATTAACAGTATCTCACCTGAGAAATATACTTCTTCCACAGTGGCTCATCTTCACTGATATCAAATTCATTCCAGCCATGGAAGGCTCGCCGATGATTTACTTCACATTTGTTTAGACCATTCTGAAGATCAGCCTATTAGATTTTACATATAAAAGTTATTGAAAATATTAGCAGAGAACAAAAAAAAGAAAAATACAAAAGAGCATCTACTGTGTGCCCTGGCCGGTTTAGCTCAGTGGATAGAGCATCAGCCTGAAGATTGAAGGGTCCCAGGTTTGATTCCGACTGAGGGCACATGCCAGGGTTGCGGGCTCCATCTCCAGTGGGGGGTATGCAGGGGGCAGCCCATCAATGATTCTCTCTCATCATTGATGTTTCTATCTCTCCCTTTCCCTTCCTCTCTGAAATCAATAAAAATAGTTTAAAAAAAAGAGCATCTACTGTGTGATCACATTTATAGGAACTTCTACAACAGTCAGATCTAATTTATGCTGACAGAAAGCGTATCAGTGATTGCCTGGGGCCAGAGGTATACACTGGGAGGGATTAACTGCAAAGGGACACAGGGGAAAAGTTTTGGGAGTGATGAAAATGTTCTATATCTTAATTGTGGTGGTGGTTATTTTTGTCAAAATGCAAACTGTACACTAAATATGGGTATGTTGTAGCTTATGTAAATTATACCTTAATAAAAAAAATTTTAATGTAAGCAACAAGTTGGTGTTTAACAAACAAACAAAAAATAGTTTTCGCCCTAGCCAGTTTGGTTCAATGGATAGAGCATCAGCCTGTGAACTGAAGAGTCCCCGGTTCAATTCCAGTCAAGGGCACATACCTAGGTTGCAGGCTTGATCCCTGGCCCTGGTTGGGGTGCATGTGGGAGGCAACCAACCAATGTGTCTCTCTCACATTGATGTTTCTCTCTCTCTGTGTCTCTCCCCCTCCCTTCCACTCTCTCTAAAAAAAATCAATGGAAAAAAATCCTCTGGTGAGGATTAATAAAAACAGCAACAAAAAAATAGTTTTCTACGGGGAAAAAGAATACAAACCAGCCACTCTTACAGAAAGTAAAATATCACTATATTCTAATTGGCTTTTTTTGCTTTCATTGTTGTTTTTTAGAATTAGTTTCCCCAAAAGAACAATCAATGAGCCATAATGACCTTCCGTGTTCTTTAAGCCTATTAAAACCTTGATATTAGTAGTATTAACTTTGCCCTTGGACTATATAATTATTTCAGGCAAAAAATTTTTGGTTCCTAAATTACTCAAAATAATGAAGGTAAGACGAACTGGTTTTTGTGATATTTTATGCTCTATGAATACCACCTATATTCTTCAGCCACCGTCTCTCATGATTCATTACAGTAACTATCATTAAAAAATTAAATTACCTGCACCCCTAAAATAGTTTCTTTGGCCAAAGTTTATAATACACTCCAATAACAGAGTCTTGCAAAAGTGAAATATATTTAAAATAAATGGTTTTAAAACAGAATATAAATACAACAACCAAAAAAGAAAACCGTCAAATAAGGGATAGCCAATATTTTTAATGCAATCACTAAAATATGTGAATTCTTAAGGAAAAATAAAAAATATTATTTTCTTCATGTTTCATTAGATTGTGCTTTTCAAAATTAGAGATTAAAGTTTATTAGCTTTTACTTTACTTTAGAAAACACATTAAAAAAGATTAACTCCTAATTCTACTTATATTAATAATTAAATTGATTATTTTCCTAATCCAACTAATCCTTACATAGTACTAACAGTCCTGGTAATGCTAATGATCTAGAGAGGCACTGCCCAAGCAGGTGACCACTAGCCACATGCAGCTATTTAAATTTCAATAAGTAAAAATTAAATAAAATGAAATTCAGTTCCTCCCCTAAACTAGCCACACTAAGTATTCAATAGTCATGTTTATAATTAGTGATTACTATGTTGGGTAGCACAGAAGAGAGTACTCTGTCATCATGGAAATTCTACTGGACAGCACTTATCAATAGAGTCTAAGTGACTGACTTTACTAGGTACTCCTTTCCTCCCCACCAAGCACTTACTTGCAGAATACTTGCAACTTCGCTGACTGGTAATTCACTTGCTTTTTTTGATGTCAATACAGGAATCATTGTCTCATTTTCACCATTAGGAATTTTTTGAAAACGTGCAACCTAGAAAATCAAACCAAAGGAAAAATATTTGCAAATACCAAACATTTCTAATGCAGTCTAGAATAAAAATTCAAATGTTCACAGCAACTTATTTCCCAATTAGAAAAAAGTTATTAATAATGAGTATCTAGTACTAAGATAATTTTATACTAACCATGTGCTGATTTTTCCAGAAAGTACATTTTAAAAAGTAGTGCCAGCTAGAACACAAAATAATTTTCACATTAAATTTAAAAGATGCTATTTTTACACCAATGTAATGAGTAAAAAGTAAAACAAATGTCCTGTCCAGCAGATCCTAATGATTCCCTGTAGTTAGAATCCTCTAAACTCATTATGTTTCACACAAGGGACAAGGGACAAAGGACAGCTAAGCTTTCTCCATGTAATTACTCCTGTTGGTCAGCTCATTTCTTAACTATCCAGAAAGGACACCTAGCTACTCGAAGCACCATGACAGCAAGTCAGACTTAAAGCACCACACAAGTGGAAAAACAAAAAGCAAAAGAGACCATACAAGCAGAGGATGCACAAGCTAGTGAAGGGGCTGCAAACAAGCAGAGCAAGTCACAGAGATGATGGAAACCATGATACCTACATATGCAGCTTCAGTAGTATATATCTGCTCTAATCTAGAATACAGAGTAGTTTTGAAGTTCTAACCATGCCACTGTGAAAAAAAATCACTAACAATATTTGTGCCCGGGATTTTTTTGGCTTTAGCCTTAGGTTTATTTATAATTTATTTTATTTTTTGTCAATAGCCTTAGACTACATAGTCAAAATCCTATATAGCAACATTACTTAGGTTAGTTCTCCCCATGTCCACCCTTCAGCACGGTTATGTTATTCATTTGAAATACAGTTAGGATCATTTGTTTCTGCTTTTATTATTCCATTTGGGATTTTTTTTCCCAACCTCTCCCCTACCTTTGTTCATTTTATTTGAGCATCTGAAATATTAATTTAGTACTAATAGTCAAAACTACTCAAAACAGGTAAAATCAGAGAAGTATCAAATCCTCTCCATCCTTTCCATCTCTCTTTGTGTTACCAATCTCATTGTATCTTTCCTGTTTCCTTTTACACAAATGCCCAGGTGTGTGTAAATTTTATTTTCTCTTGTTAGAGTAATATGATCCATAAATACTATTTTTCACTTAATATATCCTGGAGATTTATCTACTATTTAAGAAATCAGTTCACATATCTCCTTTATTCTTTTCATAGTTGCATAGTACTCTGTTATGTAGATATACCATGATTTATTCAACTACTCTCCTATGTATGAGATTGCAATGTTGCATATGGAGTTTCATTATTGTTGCAGTTGTAACTTATAGAAAAAATCCGAGAATTGAACCTGATAGCTCAAAAGGCAAATACATACATATGGTTTTGTTGGATATTGCCAAATTCTCCAAAAAGGGTGATACCAGTTTATCATATCAGAAACGTGTTTCTTCATGGCCTGACCAACAGAATGGATTGTTATACTTTAATTTTTGTCAAGCTAAAAAATGGTATCCCAGTGTATTTAAATTTGCATTTCTCTAATTATGAGTTTGAAATCATTTCATATGTTTAGGGGCCATTTTTATATGTTTTGGGAGGGGGGAATTATCCTTTATGTATTTTGTTCATTATCCTATCAGGTTACTATAGTTTATTCTCTTAAATTTTTAAGTTTTTTATATATTAGAGATCTTAAGCCTGTTATCTGTGATATGTAGCAGATATTTTCTTCTAGTCTATCATGTGTCTTGACTGTAAGGTGTTTGCCATGCAAAAAATAAATTTCTTTTTATGTAATAAAATTTATCAAACCTTTCTCCTATTACCTCTGTATGAGTCATTCTTGAAGAATCAATATTAAGAACATATTTTAAGAGCTAAAATGCCCAGTTCCAAGAACTATCTAGTATTCAATAGTTAAGGGTATACTGACTATATATTATACAAGGTTAATATTAAACTTTAAGAATAAAAAAACACCAACCTTAACAATAAGAATTAAAGATGTGCCCCTCCCTCACACAATGTAGAAATATTAGCTCAAAATGGATCAATGACCTTAATATAAGAGCTAAAACCATGTAACTCTTAGAAGAAAACAGAGATAAATCTTCATGACCTTAGAATATTGGCAATGGATTCTTAACTATGACACCAAAACCACATGCAACAAAAAGAGGGGGAAAACAGTAAACTAGACTGTATCAAATATAAAAACTTTTATGCATCAAAGAGCAAAATCAAGAAAGTGAAGACAACCTACAGAATAGAACAAATTACTGCAAATCACTTATCAATAATGGTTTAATATCCAGAGTATATAAAGAACTCCTGAAACTTAACAACATAATTACAAACAACCCAATTTTTTAAAAAAAAAATATATTTTATTGATTTTTTTTACAGAGAGGAAGGGAGAGGAATAGAGAGTTAGAAACATTGATGAGAGAGAAACATCAATCAGCTGCCTCCAGCACATTCCCTACTGGGTATTTGCCTGCAACCAAGGTACATGCCCTTCACTGGAATTGAACCTGGGACCCTTGAGTCCGCAGGCTGACGCTCTATCCACTGAGCCAAACCAGTTAGGGCACAACTCAATTTTTAAATGGTCAAAAACTTGAAGAGAAGTTTCTCCATTTGTATATTTACAAGTGGCCAATAGGCACATGGAAAGATATTCAACAGCATTAGTTATAAGGGAAATGCAAATCAAAACCATGACATACTATTTTGCATGTACTAGGATGGCCAGAATTTTTTTTAATTAAAATTTAAAAAAATAAAATAACAAGTGTTGGTGAGGATGTAGAGAAATTTAAACTCATATATTATTGGTGGGAAGGTAAAATAGTGCAGCCATTATGTTCTACTTAATACTTTATCAACAACTCTACCGAAACAATATGCTTACCAAAGATAACATCAACTCAAAGTTGGAGAGGGGCAGCCACCTTGCATCATAATGCAAACGAGTTTTTCAGGCTGAACCAATAAGTAGAGGCAACATAGCACCATCATTGCATTTGTAAAAGCACACAGTACATATTTACTCAAGAAAAATGTAAAAACCCAAACTCAAAAACCAACTCTTAAAGTTCCAGACCATAAGACTCTAGAATGACAATTCAGATAAACACATGTGTAAGCTGCCCTCATACTCCATTTAAAGAGCTGTAAAATTATTCCCAATGTTAACTCTACTGCTGAAAAAAATATAATAATCTTAAACTGAATCATGAGAAGTATCGCTTTTAGACAAAGAGTAATGACTCCAGAGCACTATACAATCCATCCACGCTTTGAGTCTATATTCAGTTTAGACCATCATTAGGGCCTACTGCAAAGTGGTGACATTTCTGGAAATGAGGTCTTAAGAAGAAGATTGGTAGAATAAATTAGAAATGGTTGGCCTAGAGAATTATGAAAGCCAGTGAATGGTCATTAACTGAATTTCAATAAAAGTTCCTAGATAAATAAAAGATATGACAGGCATCTTCAAATATTTAAGGACTACTATATGAAACACGACAGTCTGCCAAGATTAAGACCAGAACTAGTGTCAACAGGCAAAAGTATAGTCTCCAATTACCAAAACTTACTAGTATATAACACTAGTGATTTTTATATAGGGTAAGAAGTTGGTCCCCTCAAATGATAAGATTCTAGGAATGTGCAAGGAGATTACCATAGGCTCTTTATTATGTTTGGCAGCAATTTTCAACCTTTTTCATCTCATGGCACACATAAACTAATTACTACTATTCTGCAGCACACCCAAAAACATTATATTTTTGCCAATCTGGCAAAAAAAAAAATAGGTATAATTTTGATTCATTCACACCGGTCAGCTATTGTGTTGACTGTTGTCATTTTTTTTTTGACAACCTAAGGAAAAAGAGGTTAGTACCCCTGATTAAATAGTTAGGTATTGCATGTTTTAAAAACTCGTGCGGCACACGAATTGAAAATCGCTAGTCTATGGTACTGAGGTTTCTAACAGTGAATTAGTAACCTCTGTTAAGGGAAATGCTGTAAAGAGGTTACCTTCCACACCGAAACTGGAAGTTCCAGAACATGGACACAAAGAACAGTGGCACAATCAGGCTCCAATGTAGACCAGCTCTTAAATATTCCTCATTTGGCAAATTAAAAACCAGCACAATCACAAATCATGTTTATAATCACAATAATAAATCATATTTTTCTCCCATACTTACAACGCCTGGGAATGAAACAGGATTTTCAATGCTATTATATACTTGTATCCAAGAGCAAGAGCTCATTCTAATCCATTTTCAGTAGAGCAATACAAATAACAACCAAAAAAAGGCATTTACCTCTGCAGACCAACAGGGATCATATACAAAATAATCAACTTGACCCCCCAAAAATTTTTTTTACATTCTTATTCCTAAAAAACACACTATAATTTTAAAAATTAGATTACTAAGTCATTTTTAATTATTTTTAAAAAACCTGTTCATTGTTTTTAAATAGCAAGTAACAAGAAAAGGCTTAATATAATAAGTCCAACTCCTCAGTCCTACTGCCCAGTAGTAACCTCTGTTAACTGTGTTCTGTGTATACTTCCAGTCATTTTCTATGCAGGTATGTTACAAGCCTTTTTTCTGGTTGTTTTTAAATTACAAAGGTAACCACATAACTAGAATTTGCTTTTTTTCACTCAAGTCATCTTGGATCTCTCTATTTCACCACACATACTGACCTGCCTCCTTTTTTTAATAGCTCACTGAGCATTTCATTATATAGTAGTACTTCAATTTAATTGATCCTCTCAATGACACGATTAAGTTAGACTTTTTCCATGGTGGGACGGGCAGAGATGGGACAATGGAAACCCAGGGGTCTATTTCCATCCAAATAAACTTTGCCACACCCCAATTTTTCATGCATGGGTCCTTGAAATGCTTTCCTCATGATCCCGTAAAAGAGCCTGATTTCCACCAACCTGATTATAAAAC